CTTAAGGTACTCTCTGGAGAGTGTGAATATTAAAACAAAGTCTGCGTGTCTATGTGTGACGTGTGTGTATGCAATCTAGCCTAGAACTGGGTTTGTGTTTTGCCACTCTTTCCTGAATTCTACGTCTACTCCAAATGTTTATTCTATTAGTGTTTAGTTTCTTGCCACAGCTCAGCAGTGACCACAGACCCATAATGAAGTACGAACAATGTGAGGAATAGTTGCCTTGATTTGCCTTTGTACACAAGTGTCTATAAATGGCATTAAAAATCATTGATCATGACAGTCAATTTAAACTTTAAATAGCATGCATTCAATTTTTTCACATAAGGAAAGATTGAGACTATTATTATTGACTGCCAATGACTGACATGTTCTGAGATGATGTACTTTTATTTTGCTACTTAAATACACTAAAAACTAATATAAATACATGCTTGACTTAAGGACCTCAAATATCCTGAATCATTCTTTTTCTAGGTGCAGTAAAGTTTTCTATGTATATTGAAACTCTAGAAAAGCAAAGTGACTTGAATCCCCCAGGGAAAAAGACAAATAAAAGTAAAATAGCAATTCCAAGGGATATCTTGGATCTAATTTCTTTCTTGATGAAATCTATTGACTGTGCACTGAGCCGTTCCTAACTAGGGGACAAGCTGCTCTTCGACCTCTACCCTGTAAAATACCTTCTCATTATCACACAGATATCACTATCACACCAAAGAACAACTGGGGGAGAGCCCGAGCCTTCTACGGCATCCCACGGCAAGAGAAACTGTCTTGAAATTGCCTCCAACCCTGAGTTGAAGCTCTAGGAGTGCAGCAAACAAGCCCTGTAGTATTGTTTTAGATGAAGCATGCTGATAGCTCTGTACTTCCTCCAGGCCTCCTTTCTCAGTGAACGAACTCCAGGGAATGGCATCATGTCAGGCCTTCCAGATGGATTATGTGAAACCATAGCTCAATGTCATTTTCAATAGGAAGCCTCATAATTAAAGGTCAAATAGTCACTTCATCTGCAATCAATCAATAGAAAAAGTACTAATATGAAGAACTAATCAATCAATGGCAAATGCTCTAATAAAAGCAATGAATCAAATTCAGCATGTGTGTAGATGCAAGTCCATGGAAGAGACCAAGACAGGGCACTGCAAGAACAATAAGCTAAACCAAAGGTGCGTGCACAGAGAGCACTGAGAAAGCGCCTCCAGCCAGCATTGAGCTTTGGATCACTAGCTAAATGGGTACCGCCTGGTGTACGATGCATTCTTCTTAAATCCTAATACTAGATATAATAATAAATAGCATTTTATGTTTCCCCTAACGTATTCTAGTGTGTGTGTGTGTGTGTGTGTGTGTGTGTGTGTGTGTAAAAGTCACTGGAGGAAATATTATGACAACATTTTCCAAAAGGGGAGGCTGTATTGCTGAAGAGCCAAACTATTATAATCTGTTTATTTTACCTTTGTGTGAGAAGACAAAAAAAAAAAAATCACTCTGAATGATATGTGAAAATTCCCTCTACTTTTTGGAATGTGATTTTTTTTCACACTGATGTGATATTGTTCCAATTCTACACAGATAAGGATTCCCATCTGGATAATGACTAGCCTGAAGCTCAGGTCACTGCAAAGGCATATCTCCTGTCCTCAGAACATCAGCTCACCAGGAGAGGGATCTTGTGAAAATAGGTATAGAAAATTTATAGGGCTCTCCAAGCCCATTCTAGCAATCATACCCAATACTCCTGGGTACATGTGGAAATAAGGGCACTCTGTGTGTAAAGGGATACCACCAAAGAGATGCTACTGAAGAGACGACAGGAGGAAGCTTGGTAATGTCAAGGCTTGGCAGGAGGTTTGAACAGGAAATACAATTCCTTAAACTTTGACTTACAGAAACTGAGGCCAAGTCAGGTATTTAGGTCTGATCGTTCCCAGATGCTTAAATCTGTCGGGTTATAGAACAGCTAACGACTTACACTACTTTGTTATTAGATAGCAGACTGGCACCTTAGTGTCACTGGAGGATCTAAGTATCTAGTTCATATGAGAACACTCTAAAGCAAACAAGAATCCAAGTTCATTTGATCCTTTTCAGCAAAACCTATTTCTGATGTGTATTTAGAGCACTTGTCTGCAAATCAGCTTTCAGAGAGCATAACAACAAAAGAGCATGATTAAGGAAAAAGAAGAGAAAAACGTGCATGTGAATGGACAGGCATCTTTCTTCTAGAAAAAGAGCACTGACCACCCCGCCTCTGGGTATGCTTCTCACACTCTGTTCAACAGCCAGTACCAGCACTGAAGGTGGTCGTGGAGAAACAGAAACCATTCACTTTGGTTTTCTAGTCTACAGCAAGTCTCTAGCAGGGGTTCAGTCTTAATAGTCCACTGCAAACAGGCAGAATGCATTTAAGGCAGTCATTGTTCAACATGTGCTCTAAGAACATGGCTCATCTGATGCCTGAGCCATCCACCTCCAGCCTCCTACTTTTGTATAAGTCCTTAGTTTTCATAAGACTTACAACACCACATGTGGCATAGATGTGGGACAGAAGGTGAGATGATTTCTTTGAGGTCAACAACTAAACTATGGTTAATCCCTGAAAATCTGTAAGACAGGGTCATATGATTGGATCACTGGAAGTGGCAACACATTACAACTAGGATAGTTAGTAATATGAATAACCACAGCACTGGGTAGAATAACAGCAGTAGGTACTGAGGCCTGTTGAGTGCTGAGTACCACAGCACTAGGAACTGAGGCCTGCTGGGTACCACAGCATTAGGTACTGAGGCCCACTGAGTGCTGGATACCACAGCATTAGGTATGGAGGCCCACTGAGTGCTGAGTATCACAGCACTAGGTACTGAGGCCCTTTGAGTGCTAGGTATTACAGCACTAGGTACGGAGGCCCACTGGGTGCTGGGTACCACAGCAAGCTCTCTGATAGGAAATCTCATTTAGTCCCCAGAAACTTCTGTAGAGAGTAATTATATTTGGTCTTAAAATTTTTACAATAATATTACAAAGTAAGTTCATTAGTTCATTTTACAGATGAAAAGCTAAGGTTCAGGAAAATTAACAACAAGAAAAAGAATCAGGATTGGAATACAACTTCCAAAGTTCTTTCAACTTCAAGTTGATGACGACAATCCCCCGCAACCAAACCAAACCAAACCAAACCAAACCAAAAACCCATACACTTCAGTTCATAGGAAAGAACTGCTCCTTAAAGAGGTTGTTCAGCTGGGGCTGGAGAGGTGGCTGAGTGGTCTTGCAAAGGACTTGGGTCCGGTGGCCAACACCCATGTGGCAACTAACAATTACCCATAACCCCAGTTCCAGGAGATCTAACGCACTCTTCTGGTCTCTGTGGGCATTGCATGAATGGGTGCACTTACATACATGCAGGCAATACACTCTGTAATACACATAAAATATAGATAAATAAATAGAAATAAAGGATTTGTTAAATTTCACCATTTTGCAAACCTAATAAAGTTGGCAAAGATTCCATCAGACAAGTATGTTTAGGATTTATAAAAACATTATGAAATCTCTCCACTTTTCATTTGACAGAAGGAATTTTTTTAGCATGAGCAAATTTAAAGTATGGTATAATTCTTCATTCTCAAGTGACTCAAAGAATTTTCAGTGCGTGTGCTGGTTAGTTTTTTGTCAACTTGACACAAACTAGCATCACCTGGGAAGAGGGAACCTCGATTGAAGAACTTTCTTTATTGGGCTGGCCTGTGGTCCTGTCTGTGAGGCATTTTCTTAATTGCTGATTGATGTAGGGGGGCCCAGCCATGTGTGTAGGGCCATCCCTGGGCAGGTGGACTTGGGCTGTATAAGAAAAGCAGCTGAGCCAGGAGGAGTAAGCCAGTAAGCAGTGTTCTTCCATGGTCTCTGCTTCGGTTCCTGCCCTGACCTCCCTCAGTGATGGACTGTCACTTGGAAGTATAAAATGCAATAAACCCTTTCTTCCCCAAGTTGCCTTTGGTCATGGTGTTTATCACAGCAACAGAAAGAAAACTAATACAGAGTTTTTACCACAACATACCACTACAACAACCCCAAGGAGTTTATAAATGATGCATTTTCAATAAAGTTTCTGATTACTTAATGAGTTTAATGACTAAAAACATGGATTCTGGATGTCTGAGAGGTTATTGGAATAATGGCATTATATTGGATAAGCATAAGTAGAAATTAACACTTTTCTTTTTAATCTTTTTCCATTAAATAAATACATACTTCACTTTCAGTGTTAATCCAATTGAGTTAATGGAAACTAAATTGTGTTTGTAGAAAACAACATAATGTTCAAAAATGAATTTCAAACTAATGTCAATTATCAAATTAGAGTAATGCCATTATTTCTACCTTGATTTGAGCTCCCAGCAAAGATGTCAGCATTTTCTCGGGGCTGCTCAAAACCCTTCCAAAACAGCTTTTGGCTCTTTCAGAAATAAGTCTCTAGCCCTACCCCGCCCTGGCTCTAATTTGTTCTGCATTTGTCATTTTTTAATGAGAATTGAAAATGTGATTACAAATTAAGCTAAATTCTATATTATTAAATTTAGGCTCCTAGAAATTGGTTTGATTAAATAACAGGGTTTCAGCACAATGGCCAATCTTCACTTCGGTGTTGGTCTTTGTTTCACAGGATGGACAGCACCCCATTCCATTTAACTTGAGAAGTTTCTGAGGTTTTTTTTTTTTATTGTTTTTTATTTTTATTTTATGTGTATGTGTGTATTGCCTGCATGTAAGTAAGTGCACCTGTGTGCAATGCCTGCAAGGACAGAAGAGGCTAACAGAGCCCCTGGAACTGGAGTTACAGACAGTTGTTAGCTGCCATGTGGGTGCTGGGATTCGAACCTGGGTCTTCTGCAAGAACAACCAGTGTTCTTGACCTCTGAGCCATCTCTCCAGCCCAGTTTCTGAGTTTTAAAACCATAAGATGTAACTCCATGAGGTGAATCACTTACCCAATGTGAGGGACTTGTGTGTTGAACAGAAGACAATAGCCACAGTGTCTGCTGGCGTAAAACCCGAGTTATTCCTAGGGGCAGAAAAAGGATTTTTGAAATATTTATACAAAAAAGCTTAAAATATCCTAAATTCAAAATGGTATCCATCTTCATATTAGTATCCTTCTGATCAAGCCTGGTGACAGAAATTATTCTAGATCAAAGTATACAGCCACAACTGAATTTCTTTTTAGAGTTCCTATCTTATTATAAAGGTTTTGGGAATCATGAGGCAAAGAAATAAGAATTATTATTATTTTATTATATACCTTTCTATTTTAGAAATTCTTCAACTACTTCTGTAGACTCAGTATGGCATAATGAGTCTACTTATTCCCTGCCTTGAACTTTGGCAAGAATTAGCTCATGAGAGAGAGAGAGAGAGAGAGAGAGCGAGAGAGAGAGAAACCAAAGCCAAACAACCCACCTCTAAAACAAACCATACACCAGAAATGGACTGTATAATACGGATCCACCTGATTTTTAAGGATCTAATGAGTAGTGAAGCCACATTTCCCTTTATAACCTCATCTCCCCATGTATAACTTTTGATGGAAGACAAATCTTAATCTCTACTTAGAAAAAATCCTCTCTAGGTCCTACGTCCTGTTTTCTTCAGTTTATATTTACTCACTGAGGGCAGGATTTAGAGGTGTCTCTTCAACCCAGCCCATCAGGAATGTCAAAAGGATGTTTAAGTGGCTCCTGTTCCCCTCTCTTCTGAAAAGGCATGGCTATGAACCAGCCTTTCTTCCAGCTCTTTGTGATAGCAAAGAGGACTCATGTGAAGTCCTCAGATGAGGCTCCCCTTGTATATGTACTGCTTAGTGTTTCCACACATGGCTCTTATGTCCGTGATGCTGTAGACAGTCCTCTTGTTCTTTAGACATCGTTCTGCATAACTGACATTTTGTTCATCTGTTTATTCTTGTGGTAAGCCCAGTGAGGGAGCTCTCAGGAAAATGCTTGAGTTAAGGTATGAGGGGAGTACACATAAACACTGTATATGAAGAGAGCAGGTGGGGGAGGAGAGGGGAGAAAAGGGAAGGAACAAAGAGCAAGAGAGGGAGGGATTTTTCACTGAAAGAGTTTCCTACGGCTTTGAGGGGAATGAGACAGGACGGTGGAGCCCAGAGAATCTTCCAGGAGCTTAGGGATGGTGACTTGTAATATGGGATTGATGCAGTGTGTGCACAGTTGGCAAAGAGTAGATTCTTCACAATGACTTATGTGCAGGGATACTGGCGTCCACAGGAGTGTGGACTCAGTCAGATGGGACAGTGGATGCACTTGATGGCATAATCAGACTTGTTTTTCAGAAGTGATCACAGCAACAGCACAGGCCAAGACTAAAGTTAGTGAGGACAGGCAGTAAGCAGCGAGCTAAGGGCCTGTGGAGGAGCAAGAGACCATGTGAGACATGGCGTTACAAATATAAGAGTGTCAACTGCTAATCTCTATGCAATATTCCTTCCCAAGAGCTGAAGGGGACAGGCTTTGGGGACAAGCACACTTAATTTTAAATCCAGACCACCCTTTGGCTTCCATATGAGAATATCATCTGCCGCTGGGGGTGGGGTATTGTGAGGATAAATGACAATATTTACTAAGAATTTGCACATTAGATGTGCGAAAGACACACTGATCAACATTTTCATTGTCACCACTATTGATTATAGAGAGGAAGAAGGTACAGAGCATTAGAAGCTCAGAACATTTAGGACTGGGCGGCCACACTGGGTCAGGAATGAGCGAGCAGAGGTAAGCCGAGCAGAGGTAAGCTGCAGCAAAGTTTACTCTGCAAAACGGGAGGCGTTTCACTCCCTCAAGAGTTTCAGGTAATTCCAAGAAATCAGAGAGCCTGAAACATATAGATGAGAGAATGTGAAGGACAGTCAGCTTACGGAGGAGACTTCCCTACGTGAAGGAATGGCCACATGTGACTGCAGCACACACAACACAGCCAAGAAACACGTGTTGTCCATCATACTACAAAGGCTTCTCCGTCTTTTCCTGTGCTTTTTAGGCAGTTTGCTTTTTTTTTTCTTGAAGCATCTGGAACCATATTTCCCTTTAGTGAACTGAAGTCTGCATGGTATTTGCTTTTGCTTAGATTATAGCACATTTCCGGTAGGTCAGTCTCTCAGGTCAGGGAGGCTCAGTTCCCCTGGTGCTGCCTGCCACTCACTTCTAGTGTGGCTCAAGAGGACACATGCTGGGTTGCTCTCTCTCTCTGCCTCTCGAGACTGCAGCTATGTTGGGGTATGTGAGCTGGCCTTGCTCTGTAGTCCAGAGCACAAGCTCCATTAGTAGGCGGGATAAGAGGGCCTTAGGAACTAAACACAGAGAATTTGTGCTTAAAATCTGATCTACTTTGTTTCTCCATTGCTGCGACAAAATACTCTGATCAATACCCACTTGGGAAGCAAAAGGTTTATTCAGCTTACATCTCCTGGGTGACATTCATCTCTGAGGGAGCTCAAGGTAGGAACTCAGGGCAGGAACCTGGAGGCAGGAGCTGGAGCACAGGCCACGGGGGAACGCTGCTTACTGCTTTACTCTCCTGACCCGTGCTCAGCCTGCTTTCTTATGCAACACAGACCTGCCTTCCCAGGGTGGCACGGCCCACTGTGGTCTGGGCCCTCCCGCATCACTCAACAATCAAGAAGATGCCCCACAGACATGGCCACAGGCCAATCCAATGGAAGCAATTCCCCAGTTGAGGCTCCCTCAACCCAGGTGTGGTAAGTTGACCCTAAAGCTATCCAGCACACCATATTCTTACTCTCGAGTTGGCTATCCAGTGACAATCGCCATGCTGTGGATTTTAAGGAAAGCACCCAGAGTAGATGCCCACGTGGCCCTCCACCCATGACAGTAAGTGACCATAGCAGTGGACATTGGTGAGCATTTTTCTAAGCATTTTGCATCTAGTATGTCCTCTCAGAACAGTCCTAGAAGGCACATAGCATTTCTGTCCTGCTCTTTCAGAAGCCGAGCTGAGCATCCCCAAAGTCATAAGCTAGGGAGTAGCCTGCGCCAAGGTCCCAGGGATCAGCGTGTCTTTTCAGAAAGAGACCATAAAAAACGAAACCCAAAGACTTCAAAACTCAATGGGTGAGGGAAGCTGCTTGGGTCAGTAGCCTACCCTGGGCCCCACCCTGTGGAGGGTGGCTTCAAGATACAAGGTCACAACAAAGGAAGATGACATGTCCTGCTTTGCTGCTGAAGCAGTGACTGCTATGCTTTTCATCAGTGATGAGCAGCTCTATTGTGTCTGCCCACATTCTTGACAGCAATCACTTACATTTTCTTTTCCAAGGCCACATTATCTCTTTTTAATATTGATTTTCTTTTTATGCTGCTTTTATCATTCTTTTGATCACTGTGGCTCCCCTCAGGTGGTTACTGCCTTTTCTTCCCAAATGGTCTTTTAAAAATTCTCTCTAACAAAGCTTTCAGTCAGTGTTTTCCTCGCAGTATTTATTTTGTCTTCCTCTGTGCTACCCACAGAGGAAGGCATGTCAGGTTTTAACAGGAGAAGCACAGAATGTGGGGCAGAAAAGGTCCTTGGGGACAGTTCTGTCTAAACCTGCTGTTTTCCGAGGAGGAAACTTCCACGCGAGACGCTCCTTTGTTAGCCTCTGTGCCGTCGGTTGCTCTGTTTTTGCTTTTTTCTTTTCTTTTTTTGAGAAGGACTTCATTGGTCATTATCTGTGTGGTACTAAACAAGCTACCCAGAGCTTTAAGGCTTAGTTTAGCCACCCACCTCCAAGTGGCATGCAGACTTGGCACTAATAATAAAGCCTGTTTCCCTTCTCCCTCCCTACAGCCCACCCTCCTCCTCCCAGGACTGTGGCAAGAGGCGATGGAAACATCTGGTTGAAATGTACAGCTAAGGACCGAAACTCCCACACAACTGCTGAGATACTGTTTCCTACCTTGTCCTTTCTTAAGGCATTCAGTCATTTTCATAACTACTGAGGTGTCAGTCTACCAAACTATCTTTCATGTATTTTTAAAAGATTTCTAATTACTGATTTTTCTAAACTTTTTCAACATTAAAAACAAAACAAAACAAGAGACAGTTTTCCAAAGTTGAGAAGCTGAGGTCACTGTACATGGCTGACTCGAGGTTGATGAATCAACTTTCATTTCCTAGCAACCGTGACAGAGAAAAGGAACGTGTAATACATTACAAAGTTAGAACAGCTAACGGCCTCTCTGCTATTATTAATTTTTGATGCAATAGAAGCTGTTTTGATATCATAAATATTCGACTGTAGTTGATATTTATTGAATACTTACTCTGTGCTAGGTCTAAATGCTGAGGGTTTTATGTGCTTACTACTTAATTCTCCAAATGTTCTTATGAGATATACATTGTCGATATTTTTCATAAGGAAACCAACAAAACTTATAAACTTATTAAACAGGCCTTGAACCCAAGTCCTTTTGAGTCTAGTGCTGGAATTTTAGTTCCTTATATTATTCTGAAGATAGACAAATGAGAGCATAGAAGAAGAATCTGCAAATCAATTTTAAATGCTCACTGGTGTGGTGACATGCCAGATCAGGAACTTTGAGAAAGGGTAAGCAGGGAAGCAGAGGAGAGCTGAGTTTTCCAGGCTGGGTCTCACTTGGCTTTATACCAAAGCCTCATCATCAGAATGCAGCTGTCTGCTGTGATAAGGCACCTCCTGACCATAGCTATGCCATGTTGAAGGTTAGGCTGAATCTAGCCTCTGAAACTAAGGGTAGTTGGCGCAGGGTGTGGGAACAGGAAGGTGCAGCTCAGCTGAACTAAGGTATGAATTTGAGAACATATCAGCAGGCACCTGGTTGCCTTGAGAACAGGTCAGCATGTGCCTGGTTGCTCCTGCTAACTGCAGATTTATGGCTTCTGAGCTCTATGCTTCACTTGTTTTTGTAGAATAATAATTCTCAGAGGGGCTTTCCACCCCTCTAAGTTATGGAAATGCTTGGAAATTAAAATTTTTCACCCCAGCCGGGCGTGGTGGCGCATGCCTGTAGTCCCAGCACTTGGGAGGCAGAGGTAGGCAGATCTCTGTGAGTTCAAGGCCAGCCTGGTCTACACAGCGAGTTCCAGGACAGCTGGGGCTACAGGGAGACTCTGTCTCAAAAAGACGAAAAAATAAAAAATAAAAAAATTTCACCCCAGATATGGATTTTCTGTAAAAGAGCTTACCCTACGAATGGCTAGGGATTTTGCTTGCGTTCGAATGTACTGTGTAGTCCTGGCTGGCTAATAAAGGACTTTCTTTTGGTATGATTTTGTGTCTGGGTGGTCTTCTCTGGTGAAACACCTCACAACACTGTTACATGAAAAACAACAGATTTCATCACTGTGATAGTTGTCTTTCCATGCCCAGATTGGTCCTATATTTATTGAGAGGTTGATTTAATCAATTTCAAATAGCAGAGAAGCTAAAGTAGGAAAAGGAAATGGAACCCAACAGAGCATAAGCCAGTGGGACCCAGTTCAAACTCCTGGTATTGGTGACACATTTTTGTGTGTATGAACTTGAGGAACTCAATAAAATAACTATTATGAAATTTTAAAGTTGTTAAAATACTGGTTTGAAGCAATGGTAAATGGTTAAAGGCTTTTCCAAATATGACATGAAAACAGATTTCAATTCTAGGTATATAACCTGGAAGGACTTTAGGTTATTAAGCTATTAAAATCTGATTTCTGGAAAATTACTAAATTAAACTCTAAACATTGGTCCTCCTCTGTGAAATAGCTGTAAGAATACAATAATAATTGCCCTGTTCTGACTTTTTTCTAATTCCCTGTCTAGAACTTGTAATGCCACATCTCCTAGTCATGACTCAAGGACTTTCTTCTCCCCTTAGAGACAAAAGTTATGCTATTTGGGAGTCTTTTAGATAGACCCACTGAAGGGGTACCCCAATTGCCTCACCCTGCATCCCTGTTCAGCATGGAAGAAGCCAGAGTGGTCAACATCCCTATTCCCTATTGGCAATTTGGGTAACCTCTTCAGAGGATGGTGTGATAAGCAGGTAGGAAT